CAGTCTCCCACAATGTACGAACGTTCCATGTACCTAAAAAAATGGTTGCTCTGGTTGTCAGAATAGGCATCAGCCCCGTGACTTCCGAGGGAACTCGGCTTTCATCACGTGACGTCATAATTCTTCCTCCAACTCCCAGGGCAGAGTTAAAATGGTTTGAATTATTTTTTCTGGTTAGCGTTTTTTTGGCAAGTTAGTTTTTGACGGAATGGGGTCGCCAACCCCATGTCCAACCCTCCTCCTTTACCCGGGCTTGGGACCGGCAGTAGCCCCGACGGTTCTACTGGCGGAGTTACAAATCCATGAAGTCACTGACAAGTGGACTGAGCCACATGAGTAGCTGTAAACTACTTAGTTTGTGTCCGTGAGATAATAGTAATGGATGATTAGAGATTTTATATGATATGGCTCAAAATCGTTTGCAGTGGCGCAGGTGCATCGATTGTCTGTGTTCTCTCAAATTGTAATCGTTTGAATTCCTCATCGCCTCTAACTTTCTCTTATTAAATTTATTTCACTTGATTAAACTTCTTTAATCATTTATTCGAACCCCAATCTCTCCGATTACCACTAGTACTACTACTACTACTATAGGATTTGAACTTACAATTGTATGTCTGTGCTAATGTGGTATGGCAACCTGGACTTCTGTACGTACGTACGATGTTCTGCGTTGTAATTGACTGTAAACATTTTTCGGATTTGAATACAGTGTCACTGAGATGTCTATCTAATATTATTTATTTATTTGGACGTATAAATATTATTATAAATAGGTATGTAAATATTTATTCTCTACACAATAAGTTTGTGAGTGGGACGGGATTACTGTCCGGGTGCTCAAATTGAAGCAGATGATTTTCGTCAGGGACCCCTATCCAAGTGTTTGACTCAAAAGACAATGTGGAGCAGCATTAGATAGCCAGCGATAAGTTCATAGCGTATTCGTTCACTCAGGACGGTATATAGCCACTATTGGTTTGGATTCATACTTTCTGATTCCCTTAGCTAGATTATTCTTCCTCATAAACAGATGATGTAGGTATGAAGTTCTATGTTGTAACTGAATGAATGTACTTTCGTGATCAAATTGATTGTTACTGAATAATTTGTTCTTTTAACTGTTTGAGTCAGTAGTTGCAATCGCTGGTATTAATAATAACACAACATCGTCACAGTTGAACATAATTTACTAATCTAACCCATCAATCAATTAAAATACGTGCCTATAATCGATAATTGTGTTACTTCACGATCTACAGTAATCACGTATATTTGTTTAAAAGTTAAGTTTTTTTAAAAAAAGATCAGTTTTGCTGATTAATATCTAAGTTTACAAATTTGTTTACGTTCGATCGTGTGGATTTGTTTGTGTGTACGAAAACACCAGTGATACTAGTTACATTCTGGCTACCTTGACTAAAACACGTGCACTGGTACTTGATTCACCTGCGACCTAGTAATTAGTTGAATAAAGGTCTAACGTCACTGCCTCGTGATATTGTTAAACTACGAGGTTTTCTTCTTGCTCATTATGTATCAAGCAAGATCTTGGTTATATATATATATATACAAATATATATATATATATACATATATACAAATTCACGTAGTTGTGTGCACTGTTAATGCACGATTGTAGCCGTTTCTCATTGTTGCGTTTATTTAGGTCGTACCACATCACGCACACAACTACACACATACACGTATCTAGTGAACTGAATTCAACAAATTAAATCAAATGATTAGATCATAACAACAATAACAAAAATGTGTATGTGTGCATTATTGATATTTCGATTTGTTTGCTTGAATCGATCGAGTTTGTTCTAGCACTTTATTACTATTATTATTATTATTATTATTACTATTATTGTTTAAATCAAACAAGTGCGTCGTTGTGTACACTAACTACTACAATGAAATGGTGTTGTAGATATAAATGATAGATGATAATCTATGATGAAAGAAAGCGATTGCTTTTTGCACACGTATATATTATGCATATCTATTATCAAGCGAGAGAGAGAGAGAGTGGGCCATTGTGCTTGATTTTTGTTGTTGTCTGTCTGTCTGTCTATGCACTGTCGTTCAGTGTTGGAAAAATCGATTTCCTAATTCGTCCTCTACATCACACCACATTCATTTATGTATTCATTATTTAACTTTCCCGTGGTCTATTGTTGAATGAACAAGATTGGTTGTGTAATGTGTGTGTGTGTGTGTGTAGGTGTACGCACACTTTTAGGTGATAGACGTATGGGTCGTTTTTTTTTGTTTTAGTTGGTACAATTTTTCAAAAGGTATAATTAATTGTTCGTTAAAAAAATAACCCAGAAATGAAAGATATTTTTCAATCGATCGTTGAGTATGTATGTAATGTAAATTTTGAACTTTCGTGATATTTTTTAATCAGTGGATGGATGCACGCTTTTTCCCATTTTGGAGTAGTCGCCAATCAGGTTGATATTCATTCTTAGGGCACAAACCCAATGCTGTTTAATTCAAGCAGTTTCAAATGAAAACCTGGTTTGATTTCGCTCTATTAACTTAACTAATGGTTGAAGATGTTAAATTACTACCATAGAACAGGTGTACACTCTCTTCTCTTGTATCTTGAGTATCAGAATGATCTTAACCCCTTGTCTATTCTGTGAATCAGTATTTATTTTTCGAAGTAGTGAAACGTCATCAGTTGAGGTGGTTGGGACATGTGTTGTGTATATCCAACCACCAACTGCCTCGTCGAGCGATGTTTTGCGGTGCAGGAACAGGTTGGAAGAAAGCTAGGAGCGGCCAAACCAAAACATGGCACAAATAAATAAAGTCACTGACTAGTGGACTGAGTCATGTTGGTAGATGTAAGCTACCTGGTTGGGGTCCGTGCGATCATAGTGATCGATGGTTAGAGACCTTGAATGACATGGCTCAAAATCTTTAGCAATGGCGCAGGTGAATCCACTCTGTGTTCTCTCAAATTCTAATCTACTGAATTCCTCATGACCGTTTTTTATCATTTTTTAAATGTTTCCTCTGAGGTATACATCTTGAATGATATATTCTAGCATTAATCTTTTTGGTTATCGCTAATACTTCTACCTCTACTACCATAGTGTTTATATTTACAATTGCGTCTCTGTGCTAATGTGATGTGGCAACTTGAACTGACGTACGTACGTACGAAGTTCTGCGTTGTAACTGATTTACTGACTGATTTTTCTTGAATCATCTCGTTTGTCCTTAACATTTTTTACTACCAACGATGTTGTTACTACTATTCGTACTCCTCTGGAATGTGCCTTGATATAACCCCCTTTCTCTTTGAACCGATATGGTGTGATAACTTGTACACAGATGTACACAAATTTTAGATTCCGCAGTTCATGCGATTGACTGGTAGGTTTTAGACCATACTGTGGAATTTATCCATTACTGGAGTTTGTATTCACTTTTCTCGTGTGCCTTACATATCTTGATTGTCAAGCTGATCTTATCAGCTTTTTTATTATACAAATTCATATTTTGAATCATATCTTGAATCGTATCGTGTATATATCGTATATAATTTTTACCACTTACACCGTGAACAACTCTACAAAATGTGGCATGCTGTTGAGTTAATGAAATCTGACAACTTGAGCCGTGTTACATAGATAATGTGTTATTCATTAGCCCGAATTCCCATACGACATTTTCATAATGAGATGAAATTAACAGGATAGATTGAAAACTATGATTGAAACAAAATGATCATATAACAAAATATTGAACACTGATCATGTATTAGTTAAAAAACAACCAAATGGATAGGAATGTTTGTAGAAGCATATTGGAATTCAAAATCAAGTGAGAAAGGTTAACAGTAAAAATTCATCTATGCCATTGTAATTAAATCTGAACTGCTGAAATGCCTATACATCACAAATTCCAAGTTATTCGTGACTAATTAACCTATAATTGTTGAATCCTGACCTTAGCTATACTACTTTGACGTGGCGGTCGGGATTGCCTATCGTGGTGACGCAACCGAGCTATAACGGCTGGAATACCTGTTCTTTTAGGTCCTACCTTGCAGAGCAGGTCACTTGGAGAACAGTAAGACTGAAGGCGTAGTCGTATTGCTGCCGATGCTTTTTTCTCCTTTTAAATTTATTTCACTTGGATCTATTTCTTGAATTATACACACCTTCTATCCTTAATCCGTCCGATTACCGCTAATACTGCTACAACTTTAACCAATATGGGATTGAAATTGACGATTCCATCTCTCTGCGCTAATATGTGATAAGTGGAACTTGAACTGATACGCATACGTACCAAGTTCTACGTTGTTGATTGATTGATTGATGAGTTGTTAAATGTTTCCCAGGTGAAAAATGAATGTTCCCATGTTCTAATCAAACTTCCTGATGATTGAGAAATCTGTGCAGTCATCGTTTCATAGTATTCTTGTTTTTAAGTTACATATCTTCGTGTACACAATCTTATTTCATTCTGCTTATTAGAATGATGCAGGTAAGGTTCTTTCAAATTACCTTCTATGCAGTAATGTCATACTAATGATCTTTTTAAAATGAACACTGAGTGTTCTCTTTTCATTGTCAGTGTTGTTTCGCTGGCTTAACTAAAGTCTCCTGGATGACCTTGAGTGACTTTGAGTGAGGTTTTGAGAGTTCACTCACTCAACATAGGTCAATTAGCGTGTGTCAAAAGTACTGACATTTTAACTCTGTTATCTTAAATGTAACACCACTAACTGAACCCTATTACTTCCAAAACAACTACGTTTCATGACTTGATGCCTTTACAGAATGTCGTTTCTTGATCATAACTACTAGATGAGATGTTTTCTTGTGAATATAGTTCAACTCAAAATCTTTTCAAAAAGATAAGTATTCAACCAAACTTATTGAGATATTCTATTTTTTAAAACTCAAACATACACACATTCGTTTCAAAAATTGCTATCTTCATTCTAATTGTTATTCTATTGTTTCTAGTTGAACGTCGACGTCGAGATAGAATCAATACGTGGATAAGTGAATTGTACAAATTATTACCACCGGATGAACAAACTAAATCACAATATCAAAGTAAAGGTATTGTATTGAAACGTGTCTGTGAATATTTTCAAAATGTGGATAGTATGCTGAAAGCAGCCAATTCAGCGGTTGAGCAAGTGAGTGTGTTTGAGTGTTGTTCTTTTTTCTTTATCTAGTCTCAGTTGATGATGATTGACGAAGGCGTATTACGCGTTTGAGCTCAAGGTCAAAGTTACTGGATTGTGGAAGCTCACTGTCGAGGAGTCCCACACATGTTTTTAATGCTTGTCTACTTTGAATCGGTCAGTGGTTTCAACGAATTGTAGAGTTCGTCATATTTATGTGAATGATATTTCTAAAAAGGAATCATACATGACCTTATTAGTATGTTTTTATCCAATACAATCTACAATCATATTTGCATAGACTATCTGGTTTCTAACTCAGCTTATGATTTAACATGACACTAACTTCATCAACGCCCCTCGACCGTAGCTGCTACCTTGATGTGGTGGTCGGGCTTGTCTGTAGTGATAACCCAACCGCGAGTTATATTGGCTCGAACATATGTTTCTGTAGGTTCTACCATACCAGGCAGGTTGATGGGAGAACGATGAGACTAAAAGCAGCTACTCAAAGTCTGAGGGCGAAGTCGTACTGCTGACTCTAGAGGGGTGTGACAGCAGTAAGGTGTTTCCCTCGGACAACCAGCATCTGCAGTGATGCTGCCTCCTCACAAGGAAGGAAGGGTTATAAAAGTTCGGCCCTAAAACTGTCACGCCGGATCTTACCTCACGGACTTCCGTCTCCGGCGGTAAGACCTTTTAAAAAGATCAGAGCTAACACTTTACAAGCTTCATATAAGAAGCCCGTGTTTGACCGGCCTCAAGTAGTTGTCCGTTGCGTTCTGTGGTTACGCTTCCAGGTCTCTAAGAGCAACACTAATCGGACTTTTTTTCAGGTTCCTTAGGGAACATCCTTCCACGGTGTGGGTAGCCAGGAAGTGATATCCACCCTCGTACCTGTAGCAGCACACTAGACCAAGTCCTTCCTACACTCCCTAACATTCCTTTTATCTTCGGGACATCACCGCCCAAAAACTACAATCATGAATGTATTGACGATCGATTTACCACTAGATTTGCCAGTGATCGTCGCTTTGGTGTTATCTGAAGTTGTAAAAACAGGAGAATTTTCACAAGTCTCGTTTTTGTTTGGTGGTGGATAGAGATTGAATGAGCTCAATATATGTGATTAGCTTAAGGCGTGTGAATCTTCTTATGATTGTGATCATCACCATCATCATCGTTGTGGTCTAGAAATTCACATTTTATAAACTCCACTAGTAACATATCTTGAAAACTGACAACTATTTCATTGATAGAAAATTTCTTGGATATATTCATACAACTAGGAAGAAATCTAGGCGGAGGCAAAACCAAAACATGTCACAAATCTATGAAGTCACTGACAGATAGACTGTGCAAACTACTTGTTTGGGGTCCGCGAGATGATAGTAACCTATGATTAGCGACTCAAAACCGTTAGCGGTGACACAGATGCATCCATTCTTTGTTCTCTCTGAAATTCTAATCTTCTAAATTCCTAGTCACCTCTATCTTTCTCTTTTTAAATTTATTTCACTGAATTATACTTCCCAAGTCATAGTTTCAAACCCTAATCCCCATTATACTGTACTACCTCCACTACTATAAGATTTGAATTGACAGCTTAATGTAGCATGGTAACTTGAGCTGATTTACGTAAGTACCTACGAAGTTCTACTTTGTAGCTGACAGATACAAAGAGTAACTAAATTAAATCTCACTGCATTACAAACTGGTGTTTTAGAAGTTTTTACAATTACCACTATAAAATGTAGATAGACCTTATGAAAAGGTTTACAAAAACTGTACGAGATCTATCAGACTTTTCTCTTATCTTAGTCTTATTCATAAGGCTTAATGTCTAGGAAAATCAAGTACAATTGCATCGGTTATGCCTTTGCCATTTTTATTTTTCTTTGTACAGAGGATTCAGAGACAGTCGTTTAATTGATATAATAATATTCAAGAACATACACGAAGATACGGGTTCACTTTTTGTCACAAAATCTAAACTTCCACCTGTTATCCCCTAGTGGAAGTAAGGCCACTGACCAGCATTCTCAAACCTACTATGTTCTGGGCCTTCCTTTTTAGTTCCACCAAATTGTTGTTCGTTCTTCTCATGTCTGCCTCCATTTCTCGGCGTAATGTCTTCTTTGGCGTTGACAATTTCAATTGAGGGCTTTTCATGTAATTATTCAGTTTCGTGCTTTCCGCAATGCGTGTCCTATTCATTTCCAGCGCTTCTTCTTGATTTCTTCCTCAACCGGAATCTGGCCTGTTCTCTCTCAGAGTAGGTCGTTGCTGAAAGTGTCTGGCCAACGGATCCGAAGTATGTTGTGTAGACAGTTGTACATTATGTTAAAAGTAGTCTCCATGTAACAATGACATATATAAAATATTTCCTTCTTAAATAACGTCTCCTATGCAAAGCTTGTTGTATGTATGATAAACAGCCAAGATGATTCCAATCATATTTAACCTCTCTGTTTATGTATCCACAACAAATAAAACTGTTATTCAATCGAGTTGAACTTCCTCACTATGTTATTGAGATATCATTCAAAAGTTGAAAGCACTAGACGGCCATTTCATCCTAGTATGCGACTCCTCAATAGATGGTAAGCTTTCACGATCACACAGCTAGAAATCGAATCTAGGGACTTTGGTTTTGCACACACACAAACATTTAACACTTCAACACACTAACTGAGCTAAGATTCATTGTGAAATTTTGCCTACTAAATCAAATTATTTTCTTTCATATGTATGTGTAATCGTTAGTATCATGTTAAATAATTGTCAATGAATATGGATAGATAAAATGTATATCTATTTTTTTCTTATGCCTTTCTTTATTCTGTATCATTGTAAAAATCAATAAATCAATCAGTTGTTTCACTGAACTTCAAATTCTGTCTCTTAAATACAAAAACTTTTTTTAAAAAAAAATCAAAACAAAACAAATATGTGTTTACATGTTATTATTATTATTATTATTTATAGTCAGTCAATCAGTCATGATTTCCGAATCCATTGGTTACTTACTACTACTACTACTACTACTACCACTACCACTAGTACTACTACTAACAAGGAGGTGTTAGTACGTGTTCATACATGTATTTTACATTATCGTTATTTGTTCATTTTTTGTTTTAGAAGTTGAAGTGTGTGTGCATTCGTCTATGTGTGTGTGTGTGTGTGCAAACACAGATTGTTGATGAATAACCTAGTAATCATGGAACATATTCGGTTGTACATCGTTTGTTTCCGCCCCTCCCCTCTATTCTATTTCTCGAATATATATATATATATATATATATATATATATATATATATATATATACATCCATTGAGTAGAGATTAGCAACAATTAAAATATTCTTAATTTCTTCAAAATACACAAATAACGTCGGAAGCTGCCGCTATGATACTGGTGCAACATGTTCAAGACATTGAAGTCGGTTTTTTCGAACTAGTGGTTCTAAATTGCCAACGGTTTTGAACGATGTCAGTCAAAGTCACTAACCACCGATTAGGATTATCACGCCAATCCTAAACAAGTAGTTAGTATACACCTAATAACATGGCTAAGTTCAGTTGTTGATCATTTCATCAACTGGTTTCATGTTTTGGTTTGGCCACCCCTGATTTTATTCAAGCCTACCATTACATCACAAAACATCGTTCGTTGGGCATACGTAACACATGCCCCAGCCACTTAAATTGATGAAGCTTCACCACTTCATCTACTGATCTGCCATCCCTACCTAGTACTCGTTTCCTAATGATGGCATTGCTTCCTCGGTTGTCCCACTGTACATGAGCGATGCTTCGAAGACACCTATGATTGAAAACCAGTAACCTATGAATATCCTCTACTCTAACTGGCCATGTCTCACAGCCATAAAGTAAAATGGGTAGTAGACGAATATCTCACATATGTCATAAGTGATTCAAGTTATCAACATTGCGAAGTCTTTTCTCAGCATAGATCGCTGTTAATTCTAAACCATTTTCAATTACATAAGCCTTTTTAAAACATTTTATGTTGTACAATGTTTCAATGGCATGTTCTTCATGATTAATTGACCTTGATATTGTCAATTGAATCCTAGTTACGTTTTGTTTAAGATTTTCAACAAGTACAAAAACAGTAGTAGTAGTCTTATCTAATTTTTTCTCAATAAATTTATTTACTTGTTGCTCATTTCACTTATCCATACCATAAATTGTTTTAACAACGGTGCACGACTAGTGTGTGCGCATCTATAGAACGGATGTTTGGATTACCCCCCAAGTTAATTCTTTTCTAATCGATAATCAATCGTAAACATAGCCGCTTAAGCGTTTATCACATGTTAAGGGTTTCGATTTTCAAAGAAAAATTAGATTTATAAATGGTCTTAAAAATCTAAGATTCTGACGACAAAACCCAAAAGACAAGTGCTTCTAGCCAATGTTTTGCAGTATCTGTAGAACCCTGGACCAAAGAGTCTTGAAGGACCAATAGCTGCCGATCCCGTACAGCTTTCTTTCCTACCAAGACACTGTCATACACTGACTACTCCGTTTTCTTTGACTAATTACAGCGCTGGCAAACAGTGCATGACATTGAACTCTCTGAGACGACATTCGTAGTACACACCTAAACCACTGAAGTCGGTGTTTCAAGATGATGACACCAATGAAATGTTCATCATTGTGCCCGAACACATGCTGATGAACCTCTGCATTACTTACATAGTGTTGTTACCATTCAGAGAAATCAGTGATCAAACATAGAGAGAGCTGTCTACCATCATCCTCAACCAGGTTTCAGAAGCATAGATCATAGACGCGTTCTAAATTCAACCTTTTACAATCAGACAAACACATGAATGCATGGAAAATTACTCAGATCACCTTGAACCGCTATAGTTTCCACTAGACTTGAATTCATCTCATCATAATCACTCACATAGCTATCCAGACGCATAAACTTCTCGATTACTACGAAGAACGAGTGCAGAGTCCTGCTAGTTTTATAAAAGTACTTCGCACTTGGAAGGCGCGAAGCAGATGTTTTACTTAGGGATATTGTGAATACAAACTAACCTATTGTTAGTACAATCTGTCATCGTATCTACATTTACATCGATGATCATCATCATCATCATTGTTAGTGTTGTCATTTCTCTTGTTGTTTTTTTTCACATTAGATTCGTGTAGAGAATAGTATTCTACGTCAACGTGTTCATGAATTACAACAAGAGAATCAATTATTATCTGCATCATTGCAATTAGGCGCAGCTGCAGCAGCGGCACATTTGAAAACTAGACAACCATCTCGATCTGGTTGTTCCTCAGCATTGGCATCCATCAATATTAATCATACTAATACTAATACTACTACTACTAATAACGCAAATGAAGGGAATAACAATAATACAACAACAACCACAGCAACACCTACAGGAGATGGTGGAGGAATGCTAGCTAATAATAATAATAATAATAATCATGATCATTGTACCATATTGAAAGATTCCTTAGAGTTCACTGATTATCAATCTCCGCTTACGGTATTCACAGTCGATACTAATAATATGAATTATCATAATCAAAATCACAATAATAATAATCCGTCTGTAAATTTCAATTCGAATTGTTTAACTCCGACAAATTCATTGAACAACAACAATACAACAACTACTCCTAATAATAATAATAACACTAATCCAACATGTTTTACCACATCATTAGCATCGATTAATTCAATTGGAGGATTTCATCTTTCTCAAAATACTATCTCATCATCAAATTCCGATTTAATGAATCAAGTATTATGTCCTTTAACTTTGCCTAGTTTAGATCATATCACTATGTCGCATACAGATAATAATAATAATAATAATAGTAGTAGTAGTACTACTTCTACAAATACTACTAATACTTGTTCTACCAATACTGTTACTAACAATAATAATAATAGTACTACTACTTCTAATCGAATATCATGAAATTCATATTTGTATGCTGTGCGCGTGCGCGCACACATCCTCTCCTCTCCTCTTCCTAGTCTCTGAGTTCCTTTCAAAATCGGCTTGTTATTATTTTCTCTCTCTGTCTCTGTCTCAGAATTCTCACTCTCGGTTCAATTCAGTCGACACAGAGAGAGAGTGTGTGAGAAAAAGAACCCAACAAGACACATGTAGTTTCCAAATGTCAACATGTTAACATTTTCTTATTTTAACATTCCTTTTACTGTGTTTTGCAAATATGCATAGTTTTTTGAAAGTCCTTGTTGTTGTTCGTGGTGGTGGTGGTGGTGGTCGTCGTCGTGGTGCTGAACAAGATGAACATTCGTCCTCATGTGTTCTATTCTTTATCTTCTCTTGTTGTTGTTGTTGTTATTATTATTATCGTTGGCGTCGTTATTGTTGTCGTTGTGTCAAGCACACCGCCTTTCTTCTTCTTTCCTTCATCATGCATCATATCGCATTATTTGTGTGTGTGTGTCACTTGGCACACACACACTTGTTTTTTTTTCATTTTGTTTTTTTTGTTCTGCTCTGTGCTATTTTTAAATTTTTTTATTTTGTTCATGAGAAAACTTCATTGCAGCAGTGAAGTTGTGTGTTGATGTGCTTTCTGACTTTGTCATTTTCTCATCATAATCATCATCATAATTTGTTTTCATGATAAATAATATATATGTACCTGATCACTCCATACCACACTACGATCATCATCGTCGTCGCCGTCGTCGTCGTCATCATTGGACAATGCTGCCGAGACTGTGTGCTATGCTCATATATATATACACATATAATATTTGACTTTTTCTTTCAATCTTTACTTTCTATTGCTTCTCTTGTCCAACACAACAAGTCGTCGTCTAATTGGTGGCGGCAGCGGCGGCGGTGGCTAGAGAAAACAGACAGTGTGACAATGTGATGCATTGTGATTTATTTTGGATCAGTTTTGAAATAACAGACATAGATTTGCAATTATTATTATTATTTTTATTGAAACCATCAATAATCATAGGCAAACAGTCAGTCTTCTTCATCTTGGTTTGTTTATTATTATGATTATGATTATTATGATTATTTTTGTTTTCTTCATAGGATTCACAATATGATTGATTGTTTTATGATCATTAATACTGAATAATCGTAATTATAATTTTCTCCTTGTTAATCTGTTTGTTCGTTTGTTTGTTTGTTTATGTTTTGGCATAATCCACATGTGTACACAACTACTGGTGGTACTGCTACTACTTGTACACTACTTACTATAATGTGTGTACACGCTTCTTCACTCGTCACCACACCATGTGTATGGGTGTGTGCGTGCGTGTGTCGGCACATTGTGTTTAGGGCAAAAATTTTTGCAAAAAAAGAAGAATAGTCGGTTGTTTCTTGTGTTCTTTTTTTTATTGAACTGTATTCTTGTTCTTCTTTCTGCTTCACCTGGTGATTTCTGTTTTTGGCATTGTTGCTGCTGTTTACTTGAATACATTTAAACAATTTTTTTGACTATGACTACTACTACCAATAATAATAATAATAATATCATTACTCTATTAACTATGATCATTATTCTGTCATTTTCTTTTCTGGCAAAATCTATTCCTCACTTGAATTTCATCATTACACCGTTTATCTGTGATAATGATAATGCTTTGATTGTATGTATAACCGAAGTTGTTGAATCCTACTAGGCGGCCGTAAATCGTCGTCATCATCATCAAACAAACACAGCAACAGCAATGTTGTATGTATCACACACACTTACTTTTATACATACATATACCTCTTTTTATGCACCATGCAGAGTAGTAGTAGTAGTAGTAGTAGTAGTTAGTCGATTCATCTAGGAGTACATTAATATCTCTTTGTTGTGTGTGTTCGTATGTGATTGTTGTCACATTGCTACCGGCAGTCTCTTTCTATCTATCTATCTCTTTCTCTCTCTCTCTGTGACAATTCTCCCTTAACCATTCATTCATTCGTACGTACTTATATATATATATATATATATATATATATATATATATATATATATATGTATCATTGCGCCTATGATACTGTGTTCTTTCTCTCTTATTGCTTGTTTCAAGTTTATCATTTGTAATTTATTATAATGTAGTTTCATTTTTTTCTATGTCTTTCACAATAATGATACACTCACACACATATATACATATACATATATATATATATATATATATATATAGACGCATGCAAACCCTCAACTCCTCAGAAACTGATATCAATTTTATACATTAAAAAAAACAATCCATCTTTTAATTAGCATAAAAAAAATAATGTAAAGTGACAGACTTTCTTCTTTCTCAACTGCCCATCCTGCCCCTAAACCTAAACATACACATTGATTGATTTCATTAATTTTTGAGAATGATTGGTTGCTTTATATTGTTTTCATTCAGTTTCGGGGTTCTGTTCAACCGTCGCCCTCGCCCCGTTCCCCTTCCCAAACTTTTCAATCGATTGATTGCATGTTCAATGTTGTGTATTTATTTTTTCTTCATTGGCTAGTTTTCATGCAGATATCCTCCTTATTATCAGTCATGTTATTTTGTTTTTCTGAATAGAAAGTAATTTTTAATTGTTATATATATATATGTATATGTAGAGATATATATGTACGCAAAGAACTACTTCTTGTTTTCCTCTGTCTGTCTCTCTTTCTCTCTCTATCTGTGTGTGTGTGTGTATTCTCCATTTGCTTATTTCTCAATGTGTGTAAGTAGGATGAGCTTTTTGTGAGCACCAAACAACTAATCAAAGATGGCAGGGGAGTACGATCGAGGAACAAAACCAACACAAGTACTCCTGTATAATATGCATGATAATAATTGGGAATGAATTCATTGGTACTCCATTGAAACAGAGAGGAGAGCTCAGAAAAGCAAAACCGTGTTTTCATAATGTATACGTACGTACGTACGTATATATATGCAATTCCTTGGAAAGCTATGTATACACCATACAGCTGGATTATATTTTGACTTAATCTAGTTTTGATTGCTTCTTTCTTGACAATGACAATGAAGCTGTTTGTTTGTTTGTTTGTTCGTTTCCCCCCCCCCCCTCCTCGCCTGAATTTCATGATTTTTCTGTCCATTAGTTTTTATTTTCTCTCGCGGAAATAATTCAATTTGAATATTGCGGTAGTTTGTTTGTTTGTTTGTTTAAAATTGTTTGTTGAACAATTTGCTTCTTTCTTTTTCTAAAAAACAAAACAAACTAAAAAACACTGATTTATCATTCATATATATTTCATTGTGTGTGTGTGTTTGTTAATCACAACAAAATTTAAAAAAAAAAGAAACATAGCGTGAAATAAAACTTAACTTTCCAAGTCATATTTTCTTCTTTTTTGTTTTAATTGTTAATTGGTCTTCTTATAATACCATAGCACAATTTATTTGTGTGTGTGTGTGTACGTGTAGTGCGCGCGTGCGTGTGTGTGTATGTATGCCAGTTAGTTGTTAATTACAAAAGAGCTAATTCCATATATATGCACATATACATTTGTTGATTTTTTCATTGAGTGTCTCTCTTATTATCCGATGGTATCCTCTTTACCAGATGTATATATATATATTGTGGTCGATGTTATACCACATTTAGTATAGAACGATGAAATGGTTCATTGAAAATCCCATAATGGTAGATGTACTGAGGGTATTAGTGGTAATGGAGAAGATTAGGGTTCGAAGGTATGATCCAGTAGAATAAATTTGAGAAGAGAAAAATAAAAGGTAATGTGAAATTCAGAAGATTAGAATTTTGAGCGAACGCAAAGAGTAGATACACCTGCTCCATCGCAAACGATTTTGAATCGTTTCATCCAAGGTCTCTAACCATCGGTTATTGTTGTCTTGCGGGTTCCAACTCGGTAGTCTACACCTGCCAACATGACCCAGTCCAAATGTCAATTGTATCATAGATTTGTTCCATGTTTCGGTTTGGTCACCCTTAGCTCTATTCTACACTACTCCCTACATCGTCGAAGCAGTCAGTGTTTAGGCATGCGTCATTTTAACTTATAAAAATTCACTAGTTCATCATTCGCTTTGCCATCCTTACCCAGAACCGTTTAGTTATACTATGATAACCTTCATATGACATTATAAAACCAATTGATGATCACTGTGGTGCCCGGTGCCTCACTAGTCTCGTGTCGGTCATGTAGTTGATATGTTCTTAGACTTTGTTTACTGCTCGTCTAAACAACCTTTATTAAAATAACGCCTCACAGTTTATATATCAAAAGAGGAAGACAAAGTGTTGAATACGTCTATTTTGACGCACCAAAAACAGACACATGAAATAAAAATCATTAATGCGAATGGCATTCGAGCGAGTGAGTGAATAGGATTAAAATGTACATTCACAGGAAAATGGATAAGAGGTTAACATTAAAGCCAGTAGGATGTATAGGTTGTACATAGGCAGTAAGCAATACTCAATCATTCCTGTTGATAATAGAAGCACAGTGTTGCTGATAAGTTATTGATTGATACACGAATATAACTCCGTCTATTAAATAAGTCAATCAAATAGGCTTAACCAAATTAATTGTAAACAAACTCAAATGTATATGAGGTGCTACAAAATGTATGTATGTGTTTTCGTACACTGTGTGTGTATACCACAAAATTAGACGCTACTACCACTACACTTATAAGTAGCGCGCACCACACTACTACAAACTGTATCACTTACACATGTTGAGTAGTAGGAGAACAAAAATGGCATGAATTTGATTTCTTCTGTGTTTTATTTTTTTCGACTCAATATTCATTGATAGTGAGTAATTGAATTTAGATATTAGTTCGTTTTATTGTAAACAACTTTGAATAAAATTATTATGTTTATTAATTCAATAATGAATGACAATCAATTTGTAAGATGAATGAATGAGCATTTAAAAATTTATTTTGTTAATTTATTTATTACTATCATACTAATATAACAATCATACA